ATTTAAAACACTATTATGCTTTGGTGGCATCTTTGTTGAGAAGTAATATAAATACCAAGGGACACTTAATACTAAAACAAACTTAAAACTAAACAAAAAATTGAACACTAAACAAAACTTAACAGTAAAATAATAACAAATAACAACGATCAATGAAACCTTTTGTAATCGCCCGTACTCAAGACAGAGATAGCGACACGAACACGACACCAATGCTAACGTGTAACTGAGACACATTACCTCGTGCCGAGAATTACCGAATATGCACGAATTTATACGATGTCAAGAAAAAGGGATGTACAATATGCGTGTCTGAGGATATTGTTTAATCGATTAATTTTCAAATTGGTTGAAATCGAAATAAAAAAATATTCACGAACAGTCCCTATTGTAGTAGTCTTATATAAATAACTAATATTTCACTAAATCATGTCTTTCAACCAAGAAAATAATATGTTATTCGTTTTTTTTTATATAAAGTCGAAATCTCGTTTACTAACGACAACATTCAATATGTTTGTAAATCTATTTCATTCAGTATCTCATATAAACAAAAATCAATAAATTCCAAATCGATAAAAATCGATTGCGATATTTGATTGAATAAAGGGACGATTGTGTTTACATAGAGTCAATCCCTAGCCTAGACCTCCACCCCGCGCACGTTGCTCATACCACCATTTGGTTCCTAAAAACGTTTGTGCGCAGCCAAGTGTATAATCTATGGCGCAGCCTTCTGCGCGAAGCTCGGACCATAGAGTTACTATATGGCTCGGACTCGCCAAGTTACGTCGGTCGTACGTATTATGCTAAAGATGAGTCTAGTGTAAATAACAGGCAGAAATTAACACTTTGAAACTTTTCGGGAGATATTCTTATTTCAGTGAAAATTTTTAACACATTGTTGATAACAACACGTTTTTTTTTTATTGCCCTTGGAGGCAGACGAGCATACGGCCCACCTGATGGTGAGTGGTTACCGTTGCCCATGGACTTCAGCAATGCCAGGGGCAGAGCCAAGCCGCTGCCTACCGTTTAACACTCTCCACAAGCCTCGTTTGAAGAAGGACATGTAATAGCGCTCGGGAAACACCGTGGACGGGAGCTCATTCCATAGCCGGATGGTACGTGGCAAAAAAGACCTCTGGAAACGCACTGTGGATGTGAGGTCAAGTGAGCGTGGAGGCCAAGCTACAGGCCCAATGTAGAAAATAATACATTTGCTTCGGTATTGTTCAGTATCAGGTGCAAAACGAAATCCTCGCTACATAATCAACGGTGGTTAATTCCTGAGATTTCCTGTAGCGATATGGATGTAATCCAGCCTTATTAACAATCTTCCAGGCACAGGACTGGCTGATGTTAAGCCGTCGAGCAGTGTCATTTGTACTCCGCTGGGGATCCTCTTCAAAATACGCTAGTACATCGTCGTACAGGTTTAGTAATAACGCCGGTCTTCCTCGTTCTTGATTATGTGACGGTGCGTGGAATGAACCGTGATCAAGTAACCGCTGGTAAGCATTTACCACGGTTCGCACATTTGGTCGTCGAGCGTTCGGGTGTCTTCCCTGTAGATACGTACAGCTGCACTCGCGTTTTCACCACTCAAAAAGTACGCACGAAGCATAGCTACATACTCCCGTGATGTGAACTGATAAGCTATCGCGTCAGGGAAAACTTAAAGAAACAACTGTTGCAACGAAAAAAAGCATGCGCACACTTCCGCTAACAATTTAGCACTGTTTTTTGTCGTTGTTGCGTCGGGGCGCGGCGCGGGCGCAGAGGGACAAGGGGTGGCGGGCTTCGACTTGAATTTCCCGGAATTTATCAATAGAGTAGCGCCCCGTAGGTACTCAAACCCCGCCGCACGTACCTACTATCGGTCATTGATTTAGTTATTTAGCATTTACCAAATATTACGTATTTTTGTGGACAGTTTTGAACTTGGTGTTAGGCTATTGCATAGCTTTTATCGCGGGCCTTGAGCGCGGCGACCGAATCATGAAATTCCGTAACGAAAAAACCTAACACCCCTCACTCCGCCTACCATGTAGCTCGCGTTCAACACATTCACACGTTGCGCTTGTGTGGTGTTTGTGAATAAGCGCGTGGCGTGACGTCGCACTGCATGCGCATCATGAAAAGTCTGCCCATCTCTCTCTCGCGGTCTAGCTTATGAGGGTGAAGGGGATAGTTAATGTTTTGCTTGTGATAATGTTTATAAATATAGTGTGGTCTTATTTTATTTTTGTTTTTAATATTTAATTATTATTGTCTGATAATTATAATTGCATAAATTGATAAAAAAAAAATGCTATGCAATAACTTTACCGCGGCAGTCCTCGAGTGCCACACGTGTTTTTTGTTGTTGTTTTTTTTTAACTACACTAATATGATTAGTTCAATATATGTACTTAGAGCCCAGTAAATTTTTTTGTACTAATTTAAAAATAGTGGTGTATATTATTAAAACTAATTAATTTGCGTTATTCTTACATAAAAAGATAGCCATTAATTTACGATATTAATATTATAGACAATGCGATTCTATATCAAAAAAATATATTTAAAAAAGTTTCTTATTGTGTTTAATTCTATGGTAAGCTGCATTTTGTAAACATTCAATGTTTAATCAGAAATCGGTATAAATAAACTATACTGTGTATCAGTAAGTGTATATATAGGTCCAGACAAGTACAAACTGAACTGAGCATTGTAAATATTCCAATACAAAGTGAGTGATATATGTATACTGAGCTAAATGATCTAGAGAAAGAAACGAATTAATTGAGAGACCTATCAATTGAATTGGATCACTGAGCTGGTGATAATATATTTAGAGCGAAATGATATGTATATATCTTTTCAGGCTAGTGATACGTTTTGCGCATCACTAATAGGTATGATATCTATGTTTACTTCGAGTCGAACCTCATTTATCAAATGCACGAATGGTGCCGAGCCAAAATTAAGAAGAAGAACCTCATATAAATTATCTATGGACGCCATGGACAGACCGCAATGACATATGACACTTGCGAAATGCTTGCGAAAAATAATAATGTTGCTAGGATCCAAAAATAGTGATGAAATAGTTCGATTTAGCCTTCTAGAATTTTTAATCTAGAGAATTAATTATTAAGTAAATAATATAAACTACAAAAAACATAAGTATAAGTAAATATGTGTGTGTAAAATATTATATATTTTATTATATATATTCTTATTATTATACATTATTGTAATCAATATGTTGTATCCCCTGGCAGAAGCAAATAGGAATATATTTAGCTACAACTATTGCATTTGTCACAAATTGTTCGTGAACTTACTATAATTGCCACTGGCAGCTTACTCTACACATTTCGATATATTCTGAGGTATAAAGATAGAAATCCCAAAAATACTATTTAAATTACACTCTTTTAGTTTAATTTTAAAATGCTCTGATAATAGGTATTAAATAAAACTTGCATAAACTTTGCGTTTAAACCTTAGAGTGCGAACCTTTGATAGATCGACAATCTTTTAATACCTGTGAAGTGCGGAACGTAGAATACCGACTATTACCCAATTTGATTACAGGTACCTCTACGGACGTGTCTTAGCGCACAGTTGTTTAAAGTTTCTAATAAGTTATAATAATAACAGTTATAAATAACCATTTAATATTATTTTGCTGCCAATTTAGCATTGTTTTTTGTATTTTTTTATCTTAACGTTTATGATACTTTTTTCAAAAACCCTTTAACAATATCTGCAAAATAAGTGAAAATAAGCTCAGGCTAGAAAAATGTGTACAAATCTCGCTAGTAGAGAATTATATAATACGTTATGTATAAGGAAAACTGAAAAGTAAATCCTTGTAAAATGTTGAAATTTTACAAAAACTATTTTGTTCCTTGTTCCTGTACAAAAAGCTGGTAGCACTACATCAAAAATCCATTGTTGTGATGTATCTAGTTTGGTAAGAGAACAGAGCCAGAACAAAATTCTGGAACTCGATGAACTAATTTGAACCCGGTATCTGTGTGGTTAGTGCGATTTTTTTTACTTCCCTTCGTTTGCCGCTAGGAATGCTGTTCTAACTCCAAACAAACTTAAGTGAAATTTTACGCGATCGAGAAGATTCTCTCATGTAGAAACTCGTACTAAGCACTCTGACCACGACGCATGCTTGTTTTAATTTTTTGTTTATCAAAAAAATTCATAGTTTGTTTTAAATGTGTTTTAAGAATCGTAGTTTAATGAATACCCTACGAAAACGATGTAACAAGGAATTAAAGAATCTTTTTATTTGTTACATACCGATTTGACGTTGAGTGGTTAGCAAAGACCATAAACGTCATAGTATGAAGTTTCCCATATATCTTGAAGCATAAGGTCTAAGTCTCAGTTTAATAACTGGTAATTAACTGGTGGTAGGACCTCATGTGAGTCCACATGGGTAGGTATCACCACCCTGCCTATGAAGCGGTAATGCGTTTCGGCCTGAAGGGTGGGGCAGCCGTTGTAACTATACAGAGACCTTTTAACTTATATCTCAAAGTGGGTTTGGCATTTACATTGTAGATGTCTATGGGCTCCAGTAACCACTTAACACCAGGTGGGCTGTAAGCTTGTTCACACATTTAAGCAATAAATAAAAAAACATTTTATTTTAGTGGTCCCACTGTTCAAATAAGAACGCCTGATTGCTGTTCCAATGATTGTACAGTGTACAGAAGTAAGAAATTTAGTGCACATAATTATTGCTAATAGAAAATGAAATCTTAATTCATTATTTAAGTTCAGTGTTCGAGTATCGTGCTAAATATATTAAGTGTATAAACTATGATCGTGCTCGAAATTTTTTCGGTTTTGGAATATGACTTGAATACATTATTAAGTATCCACAAAATATTCGAATCGAATCGAGTTGCATCAACAGGGTTTTGCACATCACTTGCATAGTATTAATAATTATTAGTCTCAACTTTCATTGTACTCTATGCTACAACAATATCATCTATGTTACTTAGCCAATCCTGTACTTTGAATCAAAAACATGACAATCAGTTTTAGAGTGATAGCCAAACTTGCTACGCCTATCATCGGCAACGTAATTTGTTTATCGCGAGCGCAATTAAGTACAGTGTAAGTGGAAATTTACAAATCCTATCAACTATTTTATTTACTCTACTTAAAATCCACATTAAGCACATTGTGTGGATTTAAGCATTACGCAATATATTTGAAATGTAGTAACCCTTATTGAAAACTTTTGCTCTAAAAGCCATCACTAATTTCAAAAAGAACTGAACCGGCTACATACTAACAAGAATTAAAATATTAATTACGTACCAAATATTACATTGTCTTTAATACTAATAAAAATTCAGACAAAAGTAATATGTATTTTAAGTTTATTAATTAATATTGACGTTACTTTTTCTAGAAGAATGACTTCGAATCCGGATTATAAAGCTGCGACATCCATTCACGAATTTACCGTCAAAAACATTAAAGGTGAAGACGTGAAGCTGGATGTCTACAAAGGACATGTTTGTATCATTGTGAATGTTGCTTCTCAGTGCGGCCTTACTGCGAACAATTACAAACAATTGAATGAGCTCTATGAACAATACGGAGAGAGCAAAGGTACGTTTTCGACTTTTTTTCAAATTCGTTTCTGTATCATGCTGGATTGCTGGTTTGACTAGTCCAAAGATTGCACAATATTATTATTATTAACAGTAGCCTAAAATCATTGTAATTTGTAGCACCGTGAATATACTTTGTACATTTCCGAGTGATAAATAATCCTTTTAAAATTATCTAGATTTTTTTAATACCACTGATCATACTTGTCTTCAAAGAAAAACTATGATCCACTTGACCTTGGGTGGTTGCCATCAACCATGAACATGCCAGATGTACAGCTAAGATAGCCGAAATTTCTTAATACCAGAAAGTTCTTAAAATCTTGTTTGAAGAAAGACTGGAAACATCACAGGTAAGAACTTGGGAAATACGACAAGTGGTGTGATCATAAAAAGATGACAAGATCTATTTAAAAAAATCACTGTCTATGGAACATAAAATACAAATACAAGAAACCACTCTTTATGTAAACCCAAAAGCTATAATATACATCTAAATACAATTATTAACAAATAATTTAATTTTCATGGTTAAAGGTCTCCGCATTCTGGCTTTCCCTTGTAATCAGTTTGCTGGTCAAGAGCCTGGCAATCCAGAAGAGATAGTTTGCTTTGCCTCTGAGCGTAAAGTCAAATTTGATTTGTTTGAGAAAGTTGATGTCAATGGAGATAATGCCAGTCCACTGTGGAAGTATTTGAAGGTGTGTAAACAACTAAAATACATAATGTACTTAATATATAATGCATAACATAGCTTTAATACACAATGTATGTACTAGACTAATTATGCTCTGAGGAAAGGACTCACTTTATCTTATAAATATAAATAGTGATAAAAAAAATATCCATGTGGTAAATTACTAGCCTTCAATTACAGCTTTGCTCATGTTAATGTACAAAAAAACCCTTCAGTATATTACTTTCTTATGGGATGGAAAGTATACTACATATTATCTACTTTGTCCTGTTCCACTATGTATGCAAAATTTCATAATTGTCAGTTTTGTAGTTGTAACAAACAAACTTATTGTACATTCTCTTTGTAATAAACAAAAAACTATTTTTTTTATATCATACAACCTACTACATAATTAAAATCATGGGGAGTGAATAATGTTTTAAAAAATACATATTTAAAAATGAACCAATGATAAAAATGAATATATCCCCAATAATTATGCAGCCTACTGTGTGTATCATACAGATAATTTAAAAACAGTAATGTCCATAGAGCGTTGAAACCTCTAAATAAAAGTACTATACTTAGTTAATACCTAACAGAATTTATTATCAGAGTTAGACAGTTATCAGAATTGATAAAATATTCATACAGAAACATGTCCACCTGTATTGATTTTCCTAGCCTTGAGTTTAATTATATCTATGACTAGTCAATCAGTACTGTGATAATCAATACTTCCATTTCAAAAGAAATGTGTTATTTATTAAGTTACTGACAGCAACTGTTGAAAATGTCGAAGAAAGAATATGTTTAACGTCAATGCCTTCATTAAGTTTTTTTTTCTTTTGTATTTAATGTTAACAGTAAAAATCTTAGGATATTTTTCTTTGAAATGTAGGTTTTTAGGTTTCATTCAAATTCATACAGAACATGCATGTATAAAATTTTACAAATTAGACATTGAATTATATAAATTTCTATTTCAGCATAAGCAAGGAGGCACCCTTGGTAGCTTCATCAAATGGAACTTTACCAAGTTCATCATAAACAAGGATGGAGTTCCAGTTGAACGCCACGGCCCCAATACTGACCCGTTGGATTTGGTCAAATCACTTGAAAAATATTGGTGAAAAATACTAGCACAGACTAAAGGAAAATAGATATCCTTTTATTAAAAAAAGTTTTGTTATTGGTTTTATGGCAAATTGTAATCTAAAAACAAAATCAGTGTGAGTATCATTAAAAGGATATTTATAAAATAACGTTATGTAATTTTGTATAAATGTAGACACATTCCTGGTGTAGCCAGAATTTTTTGCAATCTTAAAATGGCGCAATTTTAACTGTATAATGTTTACAAGCACATAAAGTGCACTGCATTTAAATATTCTTCTTGTTTTTATATCACCTGTTTTTCTGAATACATAAATACAGAGCAACTTCTATAGAAATCATATTGATTTTAAAGGAAAAGTCTTATATTATTTGTTTAACATATGTTTAATTATACGTTAAACAAATAATATGCACTTTTTATTAGTATATTTTTAAGTACAATATTTTAAGTTTATGAAATAAAAATAAAGAGATGATGTGTGATGTGTGAATGGCATCTTAAAATTTTTTCAGGAAAAGATCACTGAGATATTGTTATTATTTCATAAGTTTGTTAAAAATAAAATATCCTTATTCTTAATGTTTCAAATTCATCCCTTTTATTTGTGGCGAAAGCCATCATAGAACACCAAATATTTAACTGATGCCAGACACTGAACGACGTTTTCAAGATAAGCTTGGATTTTGACAACACTCAGACTCTTCTCCACAGATAATACTGGTTAACCGTTAGACGTTCTACGTCTATAATTTACATTCTGATCTATGTATCTATCTATATAATTACGTGAAGCAAAAACTTTGTATAATAACCGGCAAACTTCTTGAGCATTTGTTGACGTAGTGGGGGTAAGTTTGCGCATGGTACACTCACGTGCAAAAACATTACTTACTCTGCGTCATAATGCTATTAAATTATTAAAATCAACATATGTATTTATTTATATATTTATTAGAACATCAACAAAACATATAGGTTAATAATTGTAATATCTATAATTAATTGAATAGATTAAATATTGTTTGTCTTTGTTAATATTTTTTATAGTGTAGTCTTGGCGAAATTTGTGATTATAGAAGTATAAAATACAATCATAATTAGTGTAAAAACTTACCATTCCAATTAATTATAGTCGAATTTCGACTACTGCGGGACCTCTAGTTCGTATTAATCCATCTTGTAACGTGAACAGCAGATCTTTAAATGTGGTCAAACTCATTCGTAAATTACCTACTAAAAACTCTTTTGGATATCTTTGTGGATTATCGAAATATACGAAGTCGTCGTGGCCTAAAGGATAAGATGTCCGGTGCATTCGTGTTGAAGCGATGCATCGGGGTTCGAATCACGCCGGCGGGTGCCAATTTTTCTAATGAAATTCGTACTACCCAACAAATGTTCACGATTGACTTCCACGGTGAAGGAATAACATCATGTAATAAAAATCAAACCCGCAAAATTATAATGTGCGTAATTACTGGTGGTAAGACCTCTTGTGAGTCCGCACGGGTAGGTACCACCACCCTGCCTATTTCTGCCGTGAACTTATATCTCGCATTTACGTTGTAGATGTCTATAGGCTCCAGTAACCACTGAACACCTAGTGGGCTGCGAGCTCGTCCACCCATCAAAGCAATAAAAAATTATGTTTTGTTTAACGTAGGATCAATTAAAATTGGATGTGCCCAATATAGGTGACGGCGTTGACTACCGGTCGTCTGCGCGAGCAAACATTCGGTGTCGGAGTCAATCATATGAGTAAAATGTGGCGGTTTCCGAACACTAATGGCTGTCGCTCATGGTTACATGGTTACAAACGTGGCAGTAGCTGTAATCAGCGGCTCGTTTGCGCTGAGCCTTAACACAATGAATCTTACGATACAGGGTGTCCCACATAAGGTGCAAGCCGAAATCTGTAGATAGTTCTATCAGAATAAAGACGATTCGACGAAAAAATAGTTTCCAAGTAAATAGTTTCGCAATAAAGATTACATAAACTTAACGAACAAACTATTCTTCTGTGGGGGTTGCCAGTACTCTGTAAGAGGACGCAACGACCGAGACGATATTGTCAAACTCTACATACAATCTTGTTAGAAGATAATAAGACCCAAGGAAGAAATATTTAAACTAGAGGACCCGCAGTAGTCGAAATTCGACTATAATTAATTGAAATTGTAAGTTTGTACACTATTATGATTGTAATTTATACTTCTATAATCACAAATTTCGCCAAGGCTTTATTAGAAAAAACATCTATTTCACTTAAAATTAGTTCAGCGCAATGGACAACTCCGAAGGAACATTGACGGAGACCGCGCTACCGTGGACATAACGAGGACTGCACTAAAAGTATTGGGAATGGAATATTTCCACTGTTCCTGTCATATTAAAATCTTTTTAATTGAAAACTCCTTGGTCTTAAAAATCGAATATCATTTATTTATTTAAAAAAAGATTCTCGGTCTTGTCACGAGGTTTTGTCAAACTTGTTTAATCGTTGAGAAAATGGAATTGACTCGAGAAAATTCAAGAGCGCTGATTTATTATGACTTTCGAAGTGGTTTAACACAAAAACAATGTGTTGACCGGATGATTTCTGCATTTGGTGATGAAGCCCCATCCAAAACCACAATTTATCGCTGGTTTGCTGAGTTTCAACGTGGACGTGTCAAGCTCAGTGATTATCCCCGTCAAGGTCGTCCAAAAACTGCAGTCACCCAAGAAAACATTGATGCTGTGCGTAAGCTGATTGAGGAAGATCGACATGTGACATACCGCGAAATTCAGGCAACTTTAGACATTGGCATGAGTCAAATACAAATAATCTTGCATGAACAATTAGGTGTAAAAAAGTTGTTTTCTCGATGGATACCGCACTCGCTCTGTGAAGAGCAAAAAGCGGCTCGCGTTACTTGGTGCGTCAGAACTCTCGAAAGATTCCACACAGGATCCTTAAATACTGTACACAACATTGTATCAGGTGACGAATCCTGGATATATGCGTACGAACCCGAAACAAAAAACCAGTCACGAGTTTGGGTGTTCGAAAATGAGTTAAAGCCAACAAAAATTGTTCGTTCCATCGTATGGAAAAATGTGTCAAATTTCGCGGAGAATACTTCGAAAAGAAATAAATACATTTTTAAATAGTAATGTTGTGTCACTTCGTTAATTCCCGAAATTTTCAGTGCCGCCTAGGTATTGTAGTCCCAAAGGATTCTGTTTAAGGGAGAGTAAGCGCCTAAATTCAAACGAACTGGCTTTCTTATAAACGGTTTATATTTCTTCGTTCTTGGTAGGTACTTAGGGGCTGATATTTTTATCTGGGTTAATAGATTAGGTGTGTCGGTTATTCCATGAATTAATTTGTACAGAAATATACCCCCCATTCGTTTTCTCCGGTTAAGAAGAGAGTCTAAATTAAAGTGGCAAAGTCTATCTTCATAGCTGGGTAACTTCCTACACAGATTGTAGTTGTAAGACAAGTACCATAGAAACCGTTTCTGGACACTTTCCAATCGTTTCTTGTATATTTCATAGTAAGGGTTCCTCCACACAATGCAGCAATATTCTAAGGTACTGCGTACGAGAGCATTATAAATTGTGATCTTAGTGTTTGGTTTTTTGAAATCTTTGCAATTGCGAAATATAAATCCCAATGTTTTAAAGCTCTTTTTGGTAATATTCTCAATATGTGTGCTGAATTGCAGCTTACTATCAATGGTCACACCCAGATCCCTATTAGAGTCTACCTCAGATAGTGGTGCACCATTAATATGATACGTTCGGGAAAATGAGCGTCTTTTTCTAGTAAAACGAATTACATAGCACTTACTGATATTCAGACTCATGCCATTCGCACTGCACCAACCAAACAAACTATCCAAATCCCTCTGCAATAATTCAGAGTCAAGAGATGAGTTTACTTTCCTGAAGAATTTTAAGTCGTCGGCGAACATAATTGAGTCGTCTATTATCAAAGGTGGCAATATGTACATTTGGACAAAAAATTTTTATTGATATGTCAATACAGATTAATTTGAATATAATCGTCTCCTTCAAAGAATACGGTTCAAAACTTGCATTAAATAAAGGTTAATAGTTAACCTGTTATTTATCTAAGATGTCGTTCCGAAGAGTTTTGTGACTGCCAATGGAATACAAAGTCAATAATTCGCTTTTCTGATTTACCAATCATTGTCCAAAAGTCAGATTGCCGGCTTTGATAATAGTCGACTCATATAGAACTTTGTGCTACGAAAACACGAGCCAATGTCGTTGATGAATGCATTAAAAAGTAGAGGACCCAAATGAGAGCCTTGGGGAACAATTATATTATATTAATAGTACATTGTGCACCAAGGGAGAAAATGTCCTACTTTTTTCCCGCGGTGCACATGCTATTGTTTCTCCTACCAGGCCGAAAGTTTGTGGAGTACCGAGCCGGGGTCCAGGGCTGAAGCCCTGGCAGGGGTAGGGGGCGGAGCCCCCCCCTTACTCTTAAAAAAACAATTATGTTTTTTAATTTTTAAGTAAACTAGGTACTACTATTTGAATAAGAACTGTCTGATGAACTCATCTTTATTTAATACTTCACTATTAAATATTTTTGCCTTTTTTTTATTTCACTTTTACACTAAACACAATATTGCAAATAACCCGAGCACAACAATGGCGGAGAATTTTAGGTGCGTGAGAGTAGACGTATACATTAACGCGCATGCGCACTTGTACCCAGGGAGGGAAAGTTACACTTTCTTCCCTGTACAGCGGGAGGAAAAGTTAGACTTTCTTCCCTGTACAGCGGGAGGAAAACCGAACTTTCGGCGTAGGTAGGAGAAAAAATAATATTATAAATCTGTGTAGAGCGTCGTGGCGAGATGCAATCAAAACGCTTTGCCTTAGTAGGTAATTAGAGTCAAGTGTGTGTTCTATTTCCCGATGTTGTATATATCAAAGGCTTGTAAGTTTCATGGATTTTAAAATTACCTAATTCTATCGAAATTACTTAACATTTTGAGGTATACTTCTCTACTACCTACCTACCTACTCATGAAATAAGAAGCTCCGGCCGGATATTATGAAAGTGATTGACAAGAGAACGGAACTACCAACATGATCATCAAAATGAAAACGACCTGTCTCTTTCGTTTAACTTAAAAAAAAAGAAACAAAACATTTCAAAAAGATCAACAGAAAAATTGAGCCAATCACACAACATTATTTGAATTTCATTCTATCTTGTTGATGCGTGGCTTCGTTACTTCGTTAGTGTTTCTGTATTTGTATCCGAGAGACGGTTTGTTGTTGTCTGGTGTCAATATTGTGTTAGTTCTGATAATATTTTTGTGATTAATTTTGAACAAATGAATTAAAATTTCTTAATTAAAATCCAGAGACATTTAGCATCAGTTTTTTTTAGTAATTAATAGATGGTCAAGGAATTCATAGCGACGGCGGGTAACGAATATATTCGTTGCGTGTGGTTCTGATGTTAATTTTAGAACAAATTAGTGATACTCGGTTAATATTACAGTATGTCTACTCGTAGTGGTAGAATTAGATTGAGTGTTCGGGAGACAAGTCCGGTGCAGACAAGGAAAAGAGTTTCGCCGTCTCGTTCTCCCGCCAGAAGTCGAAAAAACTCCCCTCGAGCAAGGAAGGTATCTCCTGCGCATCCTGCTAAAAAATCGCCCAACCAAAGAACTCCAACTAGAAAGTCGCCTAGCCGAAAAACCTCAACCAATTTTTCTGTTCGCAAGTCTCCTGCTCGTGCTCCTAAAGAGGTAAAGCCTACAGCTGAGGTAGCACCAGAAGTGGTTCGGCAATCACCTTCAAAACGCCCAGCTTTAAAATCCAATTTGTCTGTTAAACTAGAAGATTTGACTGCCAATTTTGAAAGCCTACGCAATGCTCGTAACAGACGAATCGATTATACGTTGAGAGATGTTACATCGACTAATAGCCAGATTATAATAGAAAGTGTGAATGGAGTAGAATCTAAAAATTATCACAATCTTAGAAACAGAAGGTCAGTTGAAGAATTACCCCCACGTAGATCGAGTAGACTTCGGGATTTTATTGACAGATTTGATCATGATACTGCTGATGGTATACACAGTATGGGCAGACATAGTGTGAGTAAATCAGTTAGTAAGAGCAAATCAGTTGACACATTCTCAGATGAGGAACGTTCAGAGGATGAGAGTAAATCAAGGCCAATTACAAGGAAGCTGGCTACACCAATCAGAAGCAGTGTTAGCACTTTGAAACAAATATCAAGCAAATGGGAATTTGGTGGGAGATTGGGCTCAGCAATTTTAATTTTCCTCATACCAATCACAGTGTTTGCTATACTTATTTCATGTAGCAATAAATGCTCTACTAGTATAGATGTAGCAAAACTTAAGGCTTTCACACCATGGTTCAGTTATAATTCTCTTGCCTTCATCATCGCCCAGATTCTTGTACAATCAGTGTTTTTAGCTGTGCCTGTAATGGGAACGATAGCTGATGGCATGGATGGTACTGATAGAAAATATTGTTTTAATGGATTTTCTGCTTCATTATTTACTGTAAATACAGTATTTTTATTTGATTACTTGAAAGTAATAAACAAGAATATCCTCATAAATGAATTTATACAACTTTCTATGATTTCTTATATATTAGCCATTTTTTTGAGTATTATTTTGTATCTCAAAAGCAAAGGACTGCAGGAGAAAGAGTTGAATGCATATGGTAAAACTGGCTATATATTGTATGATTTTTTCATGGGTTGTGAAATTCATCCTCACATCAAGGGATTGAATATGAAAATTTTGATCTCCAGAATCTCTAATATCACATCTGTGAGTATACATACCATTTTTATAATTTAGTGCTATTTACTTTCATAGTACCTAATATGCTCTGTTTGTGCTCAAGTGTATTCTACTATTAAACAATTGAAGTTCCAATATCAATAAGTACATGCTGAGGAAAATACCACAATATAATCAAACAACCTTGGAAGTTACATTTATGAATGTTAACCAATTATGTTATGTAATGTTATAAAAACCTGTTTCTCTTTCAGTTGATTTTAACACTGATTATATTCTCACGTGGCCTTCAACTTCAACTGGAAAAAAACGATACGCTAACCTTAGAAAACTACAAAGAGATCCTGAACAAATTGCATTTTCAACCGACAATTCTGATTTTTTCATTGATGCAAATCATATACGCACTGAGTTTTATTTTACGAGAATATAAAATAACTAGTACTTTCTATTGGCAGTCAGAAGGGCTGGGTTACCTTCAGATTGTCTCTAGTGCTCTCTATCCCTATTATTTTACCTCAATATCTAAATATGTAGCGGATAATAATGTAATGTTATCAACTAATGCTTTAATCTTCGCTTGTCTCTTATTCACATTGGGATTCTTTGTAATGCTGGTTAGTAACAACATTAAACATGAATTCAGGACAAACCCTCTTCAACCCAGCTTGGCAAGTAAGTCGCTTAAAAATATGTTTCTAATACTATATTCAATTAGTATCATTTCTAATAACTTGCTATTTAATTTTAATGCTAATTACAAATAGGAAATAGTAGACAGTCCATCAACTTCACTATGTGCTAACTATGTAACTATGATATGAGGCTGTCAGCACAAAAGTGGCCTATCCTACATTTTTTCATATTTGTGGTTCTACTACATTGCAATTTATCTAAAACAATATATTTTGATGCAAAAACGGCCTATCCCCAGTTTCGTCCATAGATAACAGATGGCTTTGTCAACATTATTTTTGCGCGTTTTGTTTTTGCCTATGAGGCAGTGTAAAAGTAAATTCAGACCTCATTGTCTCCATACTTACTATAGTATGCTCAGGTAAGCTTATGCCACTTTTGCGCTGACGGCTTCTCATGTGCTATAGAATAGTTGGCTACTATGTGAAAATCGTAAATCACGTAGATTGAATTCTTATGATATATTTGTTTATTTGCTCTTTGCTGGTGGTAAAATGAGTTGTTACCTCATACAGGAGTATTGGTCCTGCCTACTTACTTCTGTTACAGCTATGTGCATTATTCCAATCGAGTCTGACCTCAATTTATCTCTGGTCCCTTTAAAACTAGGCGGATCTTTAGTTAATTTCCCCGTGAGTCATTTAGTTTCATAAATATGAAATAGGTTTTGGCAAGTCTTTTAAAATTAGAATTTGATGAACTCTACTTCATATTTTAGACGTGTGGTCGTCTGTTCTAATTCAAAAATATGGTTTAGAAATCATAAAAGACTCGGACGTGTTGTACTAGATGCTAAATTGCTTTTAAAGGTCCCGTTGATGGGCATCTGTTCAAACCTTTCAAAAGCTTTTTAAACATCACTATTTCCTCAAGAGACACCATTAATTTAATTATAATTTGAATGTTCTCGATTTACATGTGAAAACACTATAAATAGTTATCTTAACATAACAAGTGAACTCTCGGCTAGCAGTAGGAACTGAATTAATATACGCTTAGCATTATCCAAGGCTTTACATTACTTAACTGTTTGTTCTAGGGCGAACACACATCTTTAATTCACACATCGAATCAAATAGGTTGTCTGCCTCGTATAATCTTTATCTATGTGGTTTAATTACGAGTTTTTAGTATTAGTAGATGTTTTTATCAAAGAAATCAGAATGCTTTTTTTTTAAACTCAAACATAACGTCAGAAAACTGTTTTTTAAGAAAATTTCAAGTTAAATCAAAATTATCATTTACTAGCTGACCCGGCAGACTTCGTAGTGCCTCAATCGATAAATAAAATACATAAACTTTTGGGGGACACATTAAAGGAAAAACAAAATTGTTATTTTTATTTATTTAATTCCGAGCATTTTCACATTTATCTAAAACTTTTAAACCTTCCCTGGACTTTCACAATTAATTCAAGACCAAAATTAGCCCAATCGGTCCAGCCGTTCTCGAGTTTTAGCGAGACTAACGAACAGCAATTCATTTTTATCTATATATAGATTATGTGTTTGATTCCCGTTGTATTGAATTTAGTTTAAGCGTTATCAAGTATATTGTGAAACGTTAAAATCGTCGTTTTTTTCAGATGTAGATTCAATGCCGACTTTCCACGGTAAGAAACTACTCGTGTCCAACATGTGGGGATTCCTGCGTCACCCGAACTACACGGGCGATATTTTGATTCATATAGCTTTATCGTTGCCCGGGCTTCTTTCTGGACGGTACAATGCCTCCGCCCCAGCCTTTTTAACTATTTTAATATTGTTGCATCGTTCCTGGCGAGATCATGACAGATGTAAGAGACGTTACGGTGCCGCATGGCAAAGATATTGCAACCGTGTGCCTTCGGTTGTCATACCAAAAATACTGTAATTTTTTAAGCCACAGATGGGTGACGACCGTTCGCTTAGGTTTAACTTTTTTTTTNGACGGTACATTGCCTCCGCCCCAGCCTTTTTAACTATTTTAATATTGTTGCATCGTTCCTGGCGAGATCATGACAGATGTAAGAGACGTTACGGTGCCGCATGGCAAAGATATTGCAACCGTGTGCCTTCGGTTGTCATACCAAAAATACTGTAATTTTTTAAGCCACAGATGGGTGACGACCGTTCGCTTAGGTTTAACTTTTTTTTTTCTTAAGCCCTACATACATCAATAAGTAATGGCCACCGAACTTGAGGCATGGGATCGGAGTCTAAATTTTTTAGTATAACGACTGGCTCGCCCTTCAAACCGGAACGCATTGCTGTTTACGGTAGGAGTAGGAATAGGCGGGATAGTGGTACCTGCCTGTGGGAGCTCACAAGACAACCCACCGTTTGAAATATATATAATAGTTTTGTAACGGCGGTTTCCCAAGGTACATGATTTTGCAGATCGTCGCACATCGGGGCTTTACGAATAAAATTACTAAAGACAAAAAGATAAACGATAAAAAAGTATCCCTATAATGCACCTCTTGAAGCTACGACGGTTTTTGATACGCTTCTGTCCGCAACATCATCCGCCATGGGAAACCGCCTCTTTTCAAAAGTAAATAAAGATTTAGTTATAATCATACTCATGTAAGTATCATTCACAAGTATTAAAATTTTACTTAATACTGTTAATAATAGTAGTATGTTTTCTGGCCTATTGTTCTTATTTTTAGTATAAAATAAATATAGATAAAAAGCAAAAAAAAACAAGTTTAAATAGATAGACGTAAAAATTAGAGTAATGATTTATTATCCTGTTGATCCTGATCAGGATAGCAGGCAAAGGTAATAAACTTATTGTGTAATCATCGGTTAACGATACAATGCAAATTTTAAGTTAATGGTACTTTTTGCTAAAGGTAAAAAGTATTTTAGTATTTATCTAGTGTAATGGACACCATTAAAACTAACTTAAAGAGCTATTATTTTGACAAAATGAATTATTATAATACATGAATGGTTTTAAATAGAGTTAAAATCTATTTTAGAAAATTTTATGATAGATAATGTTATTTTTGTAAATAAGATTACATATTTTTATACTAACGTCTTTAATATAAATGCAATTTGATGTAATAAATCTCTAATGGAATCACGTAAATTGGTGTTTACCAAAAACCCTTCTTAGGGTTCAAGTGCCAAAAGTTAACTTTCTCATTTAACCTTTCTCAAATACAATGAGTGAATTTTAAGTATGGGCGTTAAATTAGTATTAATTTGTATTCAATTAAACCACCGAAAATGTATTTTAAAAATATAGGCAGTATTTTTTTTATGAATTGTCAATCTCGTAATTTTAAAAGTTTTCTGCGACATTTTATTTTTATTACAATTTGAAATATAGATTTATAGGGTAGATAATTAAATATCTTATATAATAGTACATTTTACTATTACAACAGAGGCAATAAAATTTTGAAAGAAATGTATCTCAAGTTTGAATAAATATAGCTCATTCACATTTATATACTTTTCATTTTATCATGCCAATTTAATGATTTGTCTTTTGGAACGAGGTGAGCATTATTGCCTATTGTATTTTTTTCCCTACCTAAGCCTAGCCTTGAGAGGCTATGCTAGCATAACCGAGCGAGTAGGTGAGCTCACGGGGCTCAAACCTGACGACATTGCTAACATTGATCGTAGCAAGAGCAGTGCTTTGCGGAATCTACCATCGGATTGGAAACGCGACAGAAGATCCGACTAAAAAATTAGTGGGCTGTGTCTCTGGGTTAATTTACTCGCCGAGCCCTTGGTTTCCAGCGACGGGTTCGACGAGAACGATGGCCGGTGTTTGAGGTACTCAAAAGCACCGTTAGTGTATTGGAAGGATCAGAAATGACGTGCTCAGGGCGATGTCGACTGTTCATCATTCGGTCCGCAGGATCGGGAATGTAGTTACTGGTGGCCACGATGAGATAGATGGTTCTCGTGTCGTGCAGCTGTTTTCGAAATGGAGCCTTTTGTGTATTGTTGCCTAAAACAGTACCACACTACCTTACCTCCTCCCGGGGTATCGTAATAGGCGACGTAAGAGATTCACCGGAGCAGCAATGGGCAACAGCCTTCTGTGAATTAGTGTTTAGTTTAGTTTAGTGTTATTGATGTCTTCGTGGCCTAAGCGATAAGACGTCCGGTGCATTCGTGTTGAGCGATGCACCGGTGTTCGAATCTCAGGCGGGTACCAATTTTTCTAATGAAATACGTATTCAACAAATGTTCACGATTGACTTCCACGGTGAAGGAATAACATCGTGTAATAAAAATCAAACCCGCAAAATTATAATTTACGTAATTACTGGTGGTAGGACCTCTTGTGAGTCCGCGCGGATAGGTACCACCACCCTGCCTATTTCTGCCATGAAGCAGGAATGCGTTTCGGTTTGAAAGGTGGGGCAGCCGTTGTAACTATACTGAGACCTTAGAACTGATACCTCAAGGTGGGTGGCGTATTTACGTTGTATATGTCTATGGGCTCCAGTAACCACTTAACACCAGGTGGGCTGTGAGGTCCTTACATAGCCAACTGGCGTATACGAATACCGCGACGGATCATATCAATCATATAAGCTTTGAATTTGTTTTAGACCAGATCAAGTGGTCGCAGACTACGGCTATGTTCGGATAAACACTGCGAGCACTGTTCGGTTGCTTTTATTGGGGAGAAATTCGTTCCGTTATGAACTGACAATACAGTCTGTATCCTGGGCAAATATTCTAGGGGCAATTTTTCTACTGTGAACACTGGTGTTTTCGAGATAAGGTGCTCTTATTAGTGCTTTGATCACGTAACCACTTTTACAGTGTATAACGTCATTTCAATAATTCGGTTATTAAGATAATATACATTAAATTACATACTTGAAAAACAATATCTTCTTTTACTAAAAGTGTACTTACTTTTATTAAGCGATTAATACAACTGAAAATATAATAAAATGAATATTAAGTTTTCAAATATAATCAAATTTAAAAAAATTTTTTTGTTGAAGTGAAAACATCCTCAAAAAACGTCGATTACTGTATATTGTACTGAGTTTCGTTTTAAACATTATCCAATGTAGAAATCTTTAAAGGAACGGCTTCGCAGTAGTTACTTTTGAATTGACTTACAGTGATTTAAATTGAATTGACTTACAGTGCTCACAGAATAGCCTAATGTCTACTCGGAGCATGGGAGGAGTCCGGTGAATTTCCGAATGAAAAGATTACAGGGTTACAGACGAATGAGAGATGATTGAAGCGACATCAATACCTTGATCCCCTCCAGATGGCAATACTCGATAGGCTCTATAGCAGAAAGTAAAAATGGTATTAATTACGATTACGAAGTCGATTGAAACAAATATTTAATTAGTTTTATTTATTTTTCTATAAAATACACATACAACTTGTAAATAAACGATTCCATACTTATAATCTATTATGTAATAGTTTTTTTTTCTAAATACATACTGCAATGTCCACGACAATAAATAGGTTCACACGGGACGATTAATCTAAGCCATCGGAATAACAGGGCTCACATTATTAACTACCTACAGTCTGAATTTCACACAAAATAATGTAGTTTTGAAATGAACCATATTCCTTTTTTTATAAGACTACGTTTACTTAGAATATGTTTCGATATTTTAAAATTGTTTCATTACTTACACTTAATATACCGTAATAAAACAATATAAACAGCTTGTTTTTAACTGAAATAAAAACTGAAGTTACAAAGCTTAAATTGATTTCTTGACAACAAATATTATCGTTGGAAAAAAATACTTTGAATAGGTACTCTACAAGGGTTGCTTACCCCATTAGCAGATGATGACATGAATAAACGATTGATATGTAGTACCTACTTATCTACATACACGCTTACCTAATATTGTTTAAAAACATCGAATGACGAAATGAAAGAATGAAAATAGATAGCACAAGCCCGTTTGGCGTTACAACATCGAATGGAACTTCAAGTCCTATAGGACAAAATCTACACTACAATAACTAACATCAAGTACCTGTAGGGTTAATTCTAGCACGTGGACCATAATGAAAACTCGACAATTAATAAGTAGTAGATTATTCGTCTAATAGGCCTATTGTAATAACAACATGAACATAAATGCTACTTTTGGCTCAATGGTCCATTTATGTAAACAATATTTTCATAGGGTATTCATATAGGTATTTACGAAGCTTTGGCACTTAACCGTAGTATATTATTAGAACATCTTTTTGTACAACTTATCGCCCTTTGAATCTAGTCATATGGCTAATGTAGTACATACGAACTAGGATTATATCATTAAATTTAACAAATTAAAAATGAAACTGTGTAATCTCGTCGCGGATCACGGAAATTGTATCCGAAACGTCTGAAATAATTAGACACTAAAAAATGTGAGGTTAAAACGAAAACTGAAGAAAATGTTAAGTTGAACAAATTAGGTACATAATCATACATACAACCATAACAGTGGCTTTCAAAAAACAAATCTTTTAACTGTGAATTACTAAATTGAAGGCAGGCCTGTTTTTTATATTTCACTCTCGGAAAGTATTCGAGAGTCCTGAGATTTATGGGTTTTATAATTATTGTGTGACTATCAACAAACCGGTTGTTATTCAATGTAAATTAGAAATACATATAATCGAACAAAACCCGGTTCGGTGTGTTGCCTTAATCACGATACCTTTTGCGTCATGTTACTTAATAAAGATGTTCCCAGTAATGTAACAATGGCAGGAGCCCTTTTATCCTACTGCCTATCGCCTCCAAGAGGTTAAGGACAGCTCTAATTAAAAGTAAATGTTATGAATGAATCTTCACTAGTCCTGTGCAACTTAAGTATTAAATAGTAACTAGGTATGTGTATAATGAAATGAAAATATTGACGAGCTACATTTATTCACGTTTTATCTAATTTAACATCCGAACATCATAAGACTGTGTTACAACCCTAACTAACTATCTATAGACACATTTATTGATTTAAACACAACATCAATATTATTTAATAATTATATTAGGTACATACTTAAGTTATGGCGGATATTTTTACGGGTTTTGTTAAATTGATGTTTGCATGTTTGAAAATTACGGATTAAAACGGGAAGACACACGTAAATTTCATATTTTTATCATAAGCTCGACCAATAAACAATGGTTAAAATTTGCATGGAATATTTTGACTGTTTTAGTCTAGTCTAATATGTTTCTAGCCATAAATGAACAATAATTTATATAAGCATTGAGCTATCAGGTTCTTAAATTTATTAGCTCAATGATTATAACAAACAAATTTATATTACAATATTTATTATCGTCTTATTAATGTTTCTTTCGTGCCTTTGACGGCATTCTTAACATTTCCATTATTTAAGGATTTCATTATTTGGTTCCACATTTAACAGTCACTATGAAAATATACATACATAATACACTTTAATTAAATCTATCTTAGACTCACATTTCACGCAAATTAAAAAAGAATCACTCCTTAGTAAATCTTTGCTGAGCACAAAAAAGAAAAGCACACATGGCCATTTGCATGTGAATCATCTATAAGTAAATTAACTAAAACAGTAATTATGTATTTGATTCATTTAGGGGAATATTAGAATGATCTTCAGATCTATACCTACCGTTTACTATACGCGTCAGTAATATTATCTGCAACAAATGATTGGATAGGTACTGGTGGTTGAACTGGTGGTAGGACCTCTAGTGAGTCCGCACGGGTAGGAGGTACCACCACCCCACCTATTTCTGCCGTGAAGCCATAAAGCGTTTCGGTTTGAAGGGTGGGGCAACCTTTGTACTGTAAAAAAGGAAACCTTAGAACTCATATTTCAAGGTGGGTGACGGCATTTACGTTGTAGATGTCTATGGGCTCCGGTAACCACTTAACACCAATGGGTGGGTTGTGAGCTAATGCACCAATCTAAGCAATAAAAAAAAGGGGTCGTGAACTCGTCCACCCAACTATGTAATAAAAAAATATGTATGTATGAAAACCTATTTTTATAAATTAAATCTTCTAAATGCTTACACTGCGTTTGGTATTAACATGTCGACATGTTTCAGTTTTCTATTACTATTTTCCAACAATATTATACTACGAGGCAAAGGGTACGTATTAGGTTCTTTGTTTTTTTTGCAATTGAGGCGAGGACGAAAGAATCCTTGTGTTAAGTGGTTGCCGGAGCTCATGGACATCGTTAATGCCACTAATACTTAAAAATCAAACGGATCCATAACAGAAATACTGACAGTTTCGCCGCAGAAGTATGCAGATGGTCTTTTCTACCCTTGCCGGTTCGCAAACGTCCTAAAACTAAAACCAGTGAATTATTAATAGTGGTCGATGTACTTAATAATTAAACAAAGATTGGCTATATAAATTTCGTATGTTATATTAGTAGACATTCAAATTTGTCACCATATTCGTAAGCAGTAAGAGTGTACGGTATACCCATCTAGTTCATATTTAGGTATTTTATAAATGGCAGTGTTGGGATCTTGCGTTTTCGGTCTATCGATATATTAGACTACTATAGTTTTAGGTAGGTAAGTAGGTACATTATACGAGATGGCTTGAAGTTTGAAGGAATAAGTATCAAAGAAATTGATCGTATACTAAACTCTATGAAAAATGGCCGGACTGATTTGAAATAATGGAAAAAATATGTAAATCTTTAATATGAAATCATTGAATAAGTATTCTCTTTAGTAAATGTTTATTTTAATGATTTAACTTTTCATATAGCTCAGATTTTTTAATTACAGTAGAACAGAGGAGCCCACGGCCGATCTGGTATTAAATTGTTAGCAGAGTCGTTTGTTTATTTATTGTAACATTCAAAACACCACTCACCTTGAGACGTGAGATAGATGTCTCTTCAAATTGAGTAAGAGAGGCAAAAATAGGCAAGTTGGTGACACCGCTCATGCATATTTGCTTTTAGGAATCGATTATTAGGTTAATAAAATAAAGTTACTACTGTATTTTTTGACTGAGCTGTAAACGATACAAATATTATTAAAATGAATAGAGGCAGGCAGGAGAATCGACTGAATGTGGGTAAAGGTTTGGGTCTACGAATACTTTATTTTGTATAGTAAGTTCTATGGGGAATGCTCTGACAAAACTATTTGAGCCGATCCCGTGATATCCATTCACACAACTCGCTACTGGATTAAAGTACTTCCTTATTTCTTGGAGAGTTGCATTGTTTCAGAAAGCAATTCAAGACTTCAACGATGCTCAGTGGAATGAGCCCCTTTGGTGTGTTCCAAAAGCTACCACTTGTCCTTGTTCGAACAAGGTTTAGTTTTACTTGTTTTAGTAATAAGTGGCTTAGCTGTGACTCTGGCATTGTTGATGACCACGAGCGGCGATGACTACTCATCGTCAATTAGGCTGTGGGTAAACTGGAGAAATATTAGTATGTATCTAATGAAATGACAGTTTTTTTACGCTTTCTTATTTGAGCAGAATTTTAGATGGTTAATTAAGATTTGATACAGTGAATTATTTGTACGTTACAAAAATTAGTAGTTGAAAAAGTTTTACAAGATTTTAACATAATTATTATAGCCGTAAATATGCATGCGTTTAGATCATTCAAATCAAGAATGAGAATACACTAGTCAGTATTCCGTGCCTACGACACGAGTACAAACACTATAATTTAATTGGAATCTTAGATAAAAGAGGTCTTACTACGAGATTACGATAGAGTATAATTATTAAATGATAAGTAGGTAAGTAAATAGATTTATTATGTTTTTTTTTTTTATGAGTAAGGTAAAGGAGCACGGCGGGCCGGTCGTGCGCCAGTCGCGGGTTGTCAGAAGTTGCTGTCAAAGACACCCATTGATCTGGAGATTTCTTCGTCGCGTAGGCAGCAATCCAGAAATTCGTCCAATGTTAGCACACCATCGCGATTCAGATCCATTTTCTGTAACGTAAAACGTTGTTTTTTATGAAAGATTTGAAATAGGTAATAAAGTGGTCTTCCAATTTTACAACAACGATTGATCAGAAACGATAAATTTTAACAAACATTATATAAGTTGGTTACATATACCCATTGTTTTTTTTTAATATTCACTGAATCAACATGCAGGCATGTTGTAGAGTGCTTAAATATACTTGTAGCATTACCTTATTAGTAACTTATTGCTTAAAAATATAATAAGAAATAATATTCACCTGGAATAGTCTTTCAACTTTATCTCTAACTACGTCGTCATCGACGATGGGTTCAACGATCTTGCCCATGAGATCGTATATCGCTGAAACAATTTCTGTCATCTCTTCTTTGGTAATGTAACCGTCGCCGTTAATATCATATAAAGAGAAAGTCCATCGCAGCTTTTCTTCCAAAGTTCCCCTCGACAGGATCGATAATCCAGTCACAAACTCCTGCAATTAACACAGATTTGATTAGAACTTTTTTAATTATCTTGTTTGAAGCTGTCTACTAAGTAGAACTCTGCTTTAGGTATATATTTATTAATATTTATTAACATTGTGTTTATTAGTGTTCATGTATACGGGAATACAAACATGTTAATATATTTCCTTCTAATAGTTAATATATACACGTTTTTATTATTTTTATTGCTTAGTTTGTTGGACGAGCTCACAGCCCACGTGGTGTTAAGTGATTACTGGAGCCCATAGACATCTATCACATAAATGCCCCCACGCACCTTGAGATATAAGTTCTAAGGTCTCAGTATAGTTACAACGGCTGCCCCACCCTTCAAACCGAAACGCAACGTGATTCTAGTTCGGCATCATTTGTTTCTCACCTCAAAACTTAACAATCCACTTCTGTCTTGGTCCAATGTGTTGAATACATAGTGCGCGTATTGGGCGGTATTAGCTGAAAAGAAGATCATCATTAAAACTATATTTGTAATATAAGGTTGGTGATTATTGACAGAGAACTTTGTTTATAAAAATATAACTTTTAAAAAAAAAATGTAAATCCAACAGAGGACACTCACTGTCCACCTGCTGTTAACTGGCTATTGGAAGGCCATGGACACCATAGCCAAAATGCTGCTTATCTGTTTTTCATTTTGAGACAAGATTAAAACCATGGTACAGTGGCTATTGATACTTTGAAGCCAGAATCATGTCGCGGCAGAAATAAGCAAGAAGATGGAATCCGTGCAGGCGTGCAATATGCCCTACCTAGGAAATAGCGAATTCGCAAATAGGGACTTCAGGGAAACCAAGGTTAAATAGGTACCTATACCTACGTATGTTCCGATTATTAGTTAATATTTTTATGATTAGGCACAAGATCCAAAAAATGTTTACATTTATTTGTTCATAATATGTTGTTATGTTATGTATGTTGATAGATTGACATAACTCAGTGTATAGTGTAAAATGAATGTAGGTACCCACTTACAAAGTTAACGCTCGATTCGATCGTATTTCTACGATACACAAAACTCCTAATATGTATCTAAGATGAGATAAATGTTCAAAAATCGGTTGAACAATTATGTAATTATTGTAAAGCTACAGAGCTGCTAATAGAGTACTTAGGTACTGCGTATAAGAATACTAGATACATAATATATTATGTATTCTTGATTTATTTTATCTGGGCGCCTGATAAATAAACAGATCAATTTTTTCTGTACAGAAAATAGACTGACTGCAATATTATTGCGTACCTATCAATGAAAGTGGAATAGAATAACCAACAATGTTATGGAGTTTATTTTTCAAAATTATTTAGTTCCTCGTTTTAATTATAGACTATAGGTACAATATGAATTCTTCATTGAGTTATTAGGCTGACAGTGTGATGAATAGTACATTGATTCGCATTTACCCTCCTTGGCAATAATAAAGCTGCGGTCGGCAAAATATCAGAATAGAAATTTATTGGAGTCAGGTTACTAAATAAGGTAAGCTAAGGAGCTACCTGTCACAACGGAACTATGCTGGAGAAGTAATGTCAAGATTAATATTTTTTTAATGATTATTTGTTAGACTATTATTCATAATTAAATCTAGATCAGGCGGCAGTATTCCGCGACCATTTGTCTTGTTTAATTTTTTTATTAATTTCATGAAGGTATGCTTACGTGGTGACACATAACACGTCACAGTTGTATACTATTTCCTTGATGTAAATATAATTCTTTCAAATTATTTTACTTTAACTTATACATTGAAACACTTCTTTGATATCGATCGAGCAAAATATTTCACATAGTTGTTAAGGTTTTTCGTGTGGCTACAAGAGAAGCCGCTTCGACTGCTCATTAAAAGATACAGGTAGTTAAAACGACTTTTAGGTAAGTGTCGTAAGTGGCTACGAAAACTGTAAAGTAGAGGAAACGTCGAAAAAAATGTAACGACAATAAAAAATGAAACATTGAGAGTAGTTTTAATTACATCTACGACTTGTGAAAGCAAATAGGCGACACAGGCTTTGGAACTGTTTCTGCTGCTGTATTACCTGTGAGCACATTCCCAGCGGTACCTACCCTTCTATCGTGCAGCAATTTTATTTCGATTTAAAAGGTACGATGCAGTTTTTTAAATAAAATTTACCGATTGCGGCTACATGACACTCCAGTAAATTCATAATACCAACTGGGCAGATTAGACCGGCTTTTCATTTTAAATGCACTTAAGTAAATTATGAAGTCATCATTGCTGGTGACTCATTCATACCTATTATTCATGATGATTAAATAGGTATTTTTTTAAACTATTTTTATCTAGTCTCATTTGCTGTATTGGTGTTTATGTGATGTAAGCAGATTGCATTGGGACGTTTTACACGAGACGGGGCAGCAGGCATGACCACATGGTGATCCAGCTTGTGATAAACAAGTTAAAAGATTCAGCAATAAAGGAAAAAATAAATGAAACAGAACAATAATACATATTACATTTATTTTGTTTCAGATATCGTTGGTTACAGAACTGATGTCGAAATGGACATAGGTCCAATAAATTAGATACCATAATAGGCTAGGTTTGCATTTGCTTTATTACTGCAGCACTACAACAGTCTTGCCTTCGTAGACGTGTCAACTAAACATATCACAATGGAATTGTTGAAGTTACCTACAGCATTTGGTATACTTATAATTTACCTTACCACAAGTTATTTGAGACGCATAATGCTTTGCGTAGCTCGGCTATGCTATTATGTGTCACAAAATTACTTCCTAACACTTTTACAGATACAAATGATGTTTCTTTAAAATTAACTTAAGGTTAGAGCTTGAGACGGGTACACCTCATTGATTTTGACCCATTGGAGATGGTCAATCCTTAAGATTATTAAATTTACACTAGGGACACTCCTCCGGTCTGCTGTTGGTAAACCTCTATTGTGTCGCCCTCTTCCATCTCAAGTGATGTTGGAGTGTCATTCTCATTTATTGGTTGCCCATCAAATCTGAATCGCACTACCTGCATTGATAGACCCTGAAAAACAAAATGATTATTTGTGTAAGATGTCACGTAAAATCAGCATTGTTGTTCTTACTACTTAATAAACGAATATCAATGTACTCTTTAACCAATAGATATGAAATAAAAAGTCCGTTATGATTTTGCTATTGAGAATGTGTTTAAATGGGAAAAAACAAAACAGTTCTTGTTACTAATTTTAGGTTAATGTAACATCTATTGACAATATTTTCTTTTATCAATGTAAATATTTGGAAAAGTTAGTTCCTTGTCGATTTTCATTAACAAGACAAAAATTATTTTAATGCAATTTAAAACTTGAGGTATCCGTCGCTAGTCGAATTTCGATCATTGGGTGAACGAAGTTTATAAAAAATAAACGAAAAATCCAATTGACATGATATATAATATTAAGTATTAATAATGATAGGCATCTTATTTGTAATAGTTTACGATTTGAAAATAATTGTAAGTAAATCGATTCACAGAAAACAGGTAGTATTGGTTTTAGTTTAAAAAAACCGTCGTCTTTGTCTAAATTATAAATCGATTTTACTCAAGATGTAGGTTAAGTAGGTACTTCAATAATAAATATGTAATTTACTTACTGCTCTATCACAATAAGCATTCATCAATTTCCTGAGAGGTGTGTGTTTCTTTATTTTGAATTGTACAATTGCATTATCTTGACCTAATACTTTCAGATTAATGTGTTCGTTTTCTCCCTGAAAAATAAGTTAGCAATTCAATAAGTTATGCCGTGAAAGAGATTTAGTTGTAATTTGAAGATATAACCACACTTTAAGATGTCGCCATGTCGGTATCGAATGTTTTGTTTTATACACTGATAATACGCAATGCACACATACCTTCTTTTCATCAGCCATTTTGAGATTAATGTGGTTCTAGAAACTATTAATACAAAACTGTGAATTGACAAACTGATTTGGTATCTGTTTTCACAAACGAACGCGTAAATGACAGCTTGTGCGATGGCGTGGTAATGGCGTCCGGTCGTAGCTTGGCGGAAAAGGTACAGTGCTGCCAACATTTCACGGNAATACGCAATGCACACATACCTTCTTTTCATCAGCCATTTTGAGATTAATGTGGTTCTAGAAACTATTAATACAAAACTGTGAATTGACAAACTGATTTGGTATCTGTTTTCACAAACGAACGCGTAAATGACAGCTTGTGCGATGGCGTGGTAATGGCGTCCGGTCGTAGCTTGGCGGAAAAGGTACAGTGCTGCCAACATTTCACGGCGCAAATGGCGCGCTTCTGCGCAATGAGAGCGTCGAAATGGACTTATAAGCTGCTTGTCGGAATTAAAAGATATCAGAATATCTAGGATTATAAAGGATAGTTATAAAAAAATTATTTAATTTTCAAATTTCGTCTACAGTCCTGTTCTTGTTGTTCCTATTGATTCATAGAAGCATTTTACAGTTTTATTTCTGTAACTAGGTTATTTCAATAATAGTACATTAATAATTTCAATACATTATACTAAACGTAGCTTAAAATCTATTTAAAAAGCCAATTAATCAATATAACTGCATGTACCAACCTTTCAACAAAAGCTGTTTCCGTTGATAGTGTTGTATCTCTCGATAGATTTTAACGGAAATCGCTAGGGAGGGGAAAAGTCGGTAATTACGTTCCGTTACACGCTTTTTTTATATTCTAAACAGCCAAGATTAAACACCAAATACACATATTTTGTTAATATATTGGTTAGTCAAATTATTACCTCTGACTATAACGAAAAAGCATGGGGTAAAATTTGATTATGATTCTTGGAAGTTGTATGTTTCATTATTTCAGTGTAGGAACAAAAAGAGACCAGTGTGCTTAGTGCCAGTTTCTTAACGTTCTCGATAGCGTAAAAGTTAGTTCAAATTTGTATGGAGTTGGAGCTTCTGCCTACGTTTGCAGCTAGAGGCGCTGTTCCAACTGCATACAAATTGGTGTTAACTTTTACGCTATCGAGAATGTTAAAAAACTCGCACTAAGCACACTGGATCCAAGATTATTATTATACTTGCTGAATTTGGAGAAAAGTTCGATGTAAAACTTAGCTCATCACATCAGCTCACTGATTTTCTCAATCATTTCAGCGGCTCGCGATTCCGATCCGGTGGTTGAGGCACATGCGAAGTAGCTACCATCGACCTCTTTGGTCTTCTTCGGGAGCGCTTGAGCAGTTTGATACAAACTCCACCCTTCCTGTTTGAACCTGAACACGTCCACCCGCCAAAAATAGGGTAACTAACGACGTACTCTCTATTTCCACGATTCAAAGAACAGGAAAACAGATTATACTGATTGTATATCTCATATAGCATTAATGCGGAACTAACTTTTTTATTACTTAGGTGGGTGGATGAGATCACGGCCCACCTGATGTTAAGTGGTCACCGGGGC